CCATTTGATTGGCCCCAAAAACCGTAATTGGCATTATTGTCACCAGATGAACAAATTCGAAAAGAAACAAATCAATTCCACTTCTTCAATTTGATCAGGTTGTGCATTAAATGGACAGCCCGCACTCATCCTAGGAACTGAGCCAGAAAAAGGAATTCTCACTCATCCTAGGAACTGAGCCAGAAAAAGGAATTCTCAAACACACCATGTCCATTTTTCTTGAATGGTCAAATCCGAGATGCAGAGGATTCAAAGATTCAAAGTCAGCTTCTTCTTTTTTTTCATATTCTTCACATGGTAATGATGAAAGCAATCTATAAAATTTGGGATCAAACAAATCTCTCAAATGCCTCAATCTAACACTATTTTTTGTTTCCCATATATTTAGCTTATATTCACTAAATTTTCTCTCTCCTCAAAAAAAAAGTAATTTTCTGTGTTCTTTTTTAGGAATTGTTTTCAAGAACATGTTCGCCTGGCCCAAGAGAGGGCACATGCAAAAATTAGACTCAAAACAATGCCCCCAAGGACCCAAAAAAAAACAAAAATTAAATTGAATACAAGATACAATCTCTTGCATTGATTTGTCGAAAAAAAGCAAACGTTTTTGCCAAAACCCTAAAAGTCCATTTTTTTCTAATTTTCTAAATATAAAGCTTAACAAACAAAAAAAGTATAATGAGCTTGCTTGGGGGTTGGAATAGGGTGGATTGATGGCCAGAATCCCCTTCTGAAGTTGTTAAAATTTCGCCCCCTTCTTTTTTTCCCCTCCTCTCCCTTTCCTCTGGAGTGGGGGGGTTTTGAGATAGAGGGAGCTAAAGTCACCAAAGCAACTTTTTGAACCTCAAAACCCTCCCAAATACAATTACCCAAAAAACAAAAAACTCCCAAATGCTGAAAGTGACAAAAATGGCCATAAAAGATTTCAAAATGACAAAAAACAAATCCCAAAAAATCATCAAAATAACCCAAAAACAGAAAAACTTGTCGAGGCGGCCAGTTCAATCTAGACCAATCGAACCAGCCAATCCAGGCATCGAACCAGATATTCTCTAGTTTGATACCAGATTGATGGACATTCAATTCCAGGCCCCTGAGCCCCTGACTAAATAGAAAGGGCTCCAATTTACTGGTTTCTAGTCCAAACTGGCCGGGCCGGTCCGGTCCAATCTTAATAAAACTGCATTAAATGTCAGAGTGCCTCTAACACGAACGAGACATTTTTCTTGAAAAAGCATGATAACCTAAAACTTACAAAACCAGAACTATAATTATTATATCCCGTGCCAGATTTCAATTTTTTGAGAAGCCATAGGAACAACAATGAAGCATGAATTGTACATATATCTCATTCAATGAAATACTAGACAATGACACAATGATCAATCGAAGTTGGAAACCAGGACTTTATGTTCATGAAACACTTCACACAGTAATGTACTTACTTAAACATGCATTTTAACCCCATTTTATTGAAGCATGGCTAGGTGAACAAAGTTTCATGGAAGCTACCACAACTTACAAAATTTGAGACCTACTAGAACATCCAAGTTTCAATAAGACAGCAAAAATGGTATCTCACTGTAAACAGAGAATACTGACATACTACGCCAATCCCATGTTCTTCTGTATTACAACTAGGAAACCTCCTCAAACCGAACTACTCTATGCTTAGTTTTCTTTTGAATCTTTTATTTTCATCAGTCTCTATGATACGTATAAGACTTACATGAATCCATATGGTAGCCCAAAATTGATAGAGACTTCTAAAAGTTACAGGCTTTTGCTTTATCTATTACAAACTAAAAAATGGAACAGTACAGGATGCAAAACAAATGTGGCACAGGTGTAGGATTCAAAGAATGGTGCCAACAAATTTGAGCATGTTCAAGTGGACAAGGCCAGAGCAAAAGAAGTTGATCAAACTAAGCTATATTAATTAGAGTATCCATCTTTGGAAAAGCAATTTGCAGTTTTATTTTAAATAGTTCCTCATTTATAATTTTCTATATCTTCCTAGGAGGTGAGTGTGTTGAAAGCATCTCATGAGCAAGTTTCACATTACATTAGGCAAAGTTGTGCCAAGGGCTGACACGACAATCGTGATGATGTACCTTATCAGAAAAAGAAAAGAATCGGAGAAAGAGAATAACAAAGTGAAGACGCTCATATTTTACCAATCGAAAAAAAAGAAACTAGTGTTCTTCTCCAAACATGGTAGAGAAACTACAGTTGAAAGATCATCAATCACTAGCAGTGACGAGCAAGGGGGAGGATGATGATAAACAGGAAGGCTAAAGAGCAGGCCATGACAACGAAGGAGGAAATGGGGAGGCCAATCAATAACTCTCTTTTTTTAAAAAAAAATAGTTGTTTGGTGGACTCAACATATAGCACATACAGCAGAGACCGGATGGCCACCAGTACTTCTTTATTTTTTGTCAATGGCACTATAGAATCAATATCATTACTAAAATTATGAATGCTGCTTCTTCAGTCCCATGAGTTATTTGTAACATATGAATGTTCTAGTCCAAGATGTAAGAGATTTCGAATGTATGAGTAGAATTTGGAGAACTATACCAAGTGTAGATAATATAATTACAATGATGGTTTCTCAATGGTAGCCATTGGAACTATGTTTCAATGTTTTCCTTATGATTTTCCTTTTCCTCATATATCATTCTTTTACAAAAATAATCCCTCAGACAAGCTGATCTGCATTTACATTCAATTAATAGAACAAAAAATTAACCACCAAGGACCTTGAAAAACTAAGAAGGCATGATGCTTCACTATAAAGACTTAATATAGCATGAAAAATGTAGGCACATTTCAATGCCTGCCTACGAGGACTTGATACAAGCAAAGATAAGAACAGCACGGAGTCACTGCTCTAAGATATATCAAGTAAACTAATCATCACATCCATGTCGTATGGCATCCCTTGCAAGGTTTCAAAAAACGGTCCGCCTGGCGCCTAGGCGGCCTGAACAAAAAAACCGCACGCCTCGACACAGGCGGCCCTAAACGGGCGGTTGTACCTGGGCGGGCGCCCAGGCGGGCTAGGTGGGCGCCCAACGCCCAGGGCCGTAAGGCGTTTTTCGATTTTCAAATTCTCCCAAAAGGGCAAATGGGATCATTTTGACCCCAAGTTTGTATAAAAAAGTTATGGGGTTTATTTTTTAACCCAAGTGGAAAAAAAAAAAATCCCTCAATCTCTAAACTTATTGCACCACAGGGCGCCCGCCTAGGCACTGGGCGCCAGGCAGGCCGCCTAGCATATTTTGAAACCTTGATCCTTTGGGTTGAGATCAATAGGAACAAACATGCAAGACATCCATAGAAAAGCTCTCTTTTACACATAGTCGCACCTATCCCAGATGAAGATGACAGTGTTCAACCATTGCATTGAGTACGAGACCACATGCACTCATTAGAAACTGTAACTAAGTAGATCGTTACACATGCAAATTTCAAATTTGAAAATACAAATATGACAAAAAAACGTTATCATGTCAGAAACATCCATAGGGACCTCTCACATAATTTAAGTTCATAACATGAAGGCACATTAATCTTTGGCTAAAATTAACATTAAACAATCATGAAAAAGAGTACCGACCTGTACTTGTCCGCAGCTTCAACGCTATTTCATCTGCACGAGTCTTTCCTGAGCCGTGAACGGCAGCACCTTTACTCAGTCTATCCTGAAGAGAGTGGCGGAGGGCACCTGCATGAGAATTTATCTATCATGTGCAAAATAACATTGTGCGGTAAAACCTCTTTAATTTCATTGTGACTAATACTTGGTTCTCTATGGAACAAATCAATCACTCTTTGGGCTACTTGCCAGGAAATTGTGTCAATGGGGCAATACAAATGCCAGAATTGCCACAGAGACAGAAAGAACAAATCAGATAGGGAAGGGAATGGCTTACTTGCAGAAACCTGCTGTGATTTATCATTAAGTTGCAAAACAAGCACTTTGCTGCTCAGAGAACTATCTCTTTGTAAGTCAATGCAGATAGGAGCCCTTGTGGCACCATTTTCTCCCGTGGGCTGCATATAAGATTTGGGTTATTAATGACAGAAGAGCAAACATGCCTTATTCAAAGCCCTTTTATGAAAACAATAAATAATCAACAAGTAACAGCCAATGTGGAAAGAAGCTTACCAGTACAGGATGCCCAATTAAGCTATTTAATACAGCCGACTTGCCCGCTCCCTAGCAAGAAATTATCAAATGAGTACAAGTTTAACAGAGAGGTAAAAACCCACATTCTTTTTATAATACATAGCAGAGAAGGCCTCATATTTCCATTACATAAAATTCTTACAATCCACCATAATAAAATCAATGGCCCTAAATCCAAGCAATCAACACGAGCTACAGAATCTAATTTATGAGCATTTTCCATTCAAAGCATATGCAAGCGATATGATGCTTTGACCTAGCCAAATCATTTGCAGTGCTCTTCTATGTGCAGAATTGTCTAATTCCCTTGTGCCTCTGGATCTGACTGGTCCAGCTGTCTGATTTGCTTCAAAGTAATGGATTTCTATCCACATATACGAATCCACTAAAACCTTTTCATAGAAATCAATCAACATTTGAAACTCAGTAAAGAAGATATGGACAAGTAAAAGGAAGACACGAACTTATGAGAGAGTGGGGGAGAGGACACAGATACAAATGAATCTGGTAAACCATGTCACCATGTTTGTCCATCCACTGGTACCGTGTACAACGACATGCTAACTACTTTGGGATCCATATTATACTGAATAAAGGCCCCAATTATGTTCAGAAATATTGATAAATTCTATATGAAGATCTAATAAAAAAAAAAGATCAGCAACCTGAACATCTTTAAGCAAGCATAAGACAATTCTCCATGGTTTATTTTAGATAGGTAACCCCATTCTCCATAGAAAATATGATCAAATTCAGGAAAAATCACAATCTAGAAATGCCAAATGACACGAGAGCATCATCAGCAGAAATCCCTAACCAATTTATACATGGAAACGAAGTGAGGATCATAGAGAGACATAGTGAGCTCAAATCTACAGTCAAATAAAAAGATAGGGATAAAGGGAAAAAATTGAGGGAGCAAGGGATGGAGAGGGAGAGAGAGGGAGGAGAGGAATTGAGGTGAACAAATGTTGACTTACAACATTGCCAAGAGCCACAACATTGAGGAAGGTGGAGGTTCGCCTCGAGGGTTCATCAACATCCTCGTCTGCAAGCAGGGCAGCAGCCTGCAACATCGAATCTGAAAGCTGCGTAAGCTCCTCCATGGCCTCCATATTCAAACCCTAAATCTAGGATATGTCTCAAATATTTACGCAGATCGTGCTTCTGTTAAGTTGTTGACAATCCTTCTGAATCTCCACAACTAATTTTCATACCCTAGTCCCAAATTCAGCGATGAGAAAGAGATCTGGATCGTGATTTCCTACAAACCGGCGACAAACCGCCGGAGATTTCAGGTAGATCAGGGGTGGTAGAAGGGGGGGAAATGGAAATCTCTAGACTCTAATCCGACCCTCTCTCTCTCCTCTTCGTTTATGGTTGCGCTGCAGTTTGATGCTCTATTGATTTGCTTTTGAACAGATGATAAGGTAGAAGAGCGAGAAAGGAGAGGGAGGGAGAAAATATAGAAAGAGAGAGAGGGAGGGGGGAAGGGGGGTGGGACGGGAGCAGAACGGCAAATGAGGAGGAGAGATCGCATAAAGTAAAATCAAGAAAGAAGAGGAGAGAGGCCGGTCCGCAACTAAAATGACTAGACGAAGTTTTCGGGGTTTTAAATTTTGGGTGGGACGGATGGTGTCAGGGGAAAGGTCGCCCCACCTTTACTGCGTAAATTCTCATTTTGTTTTCTCCTTCCCACCCTAACTACGTTGAGGCCATGTTTGCAAAAGAGGAAGGCCCTTTTTTTTTTTTTTTTTTTTTTTGGGAAGTATATAATGAGGTTACAAAGTGGTTGCAAATTACTCTTAACCATTAGATGTGAAATTGTGTGGCTGCATTTATTTCATTGACCAAGTTTAAAGTTTAAAATAAATTCTTTCGAACTTTGTAATACAGCCAATCAATCAAATTTCACATCGGATGGTTGTAAGTAATTATGGCGTCCTATATCAAAAAGTAAATGATCTTATTATATACAATCGCTCATTTTTTTTATTAGAATATGTTTCGATCTATTAAGGCAATTATCTTCCTAATAAAAAGATTCTACATGTCAGTGCAGCATATTGCCCATCTACTCTACGGGTGAAAATCATTCCAAAAGTATTTTTAAGAAACGATTTTACCTTTTAGATTAATCCAAAAAATGATTTCAAATTGCACACTCTGCTTAAAAAAAGTATGTCCCAAGATCGAACGGAGGCATCCATTTTTGGAGACCGAGATTTGGGTGTCGTAGAACTTGAAATCTGAATTTCTTCTTTTAAAAACAATCATCATGTGAATCATAGGAGGATCCCTTATTTTGAGATCGAAAAAATCCTCTTAAGTAGCTCGTTTGCAATGTGAAGAATGTACATAGTATACTCCTATGTAGATAGGGTGCGGTTTGCATAGAGCCGAGGCTCTAACCAATCAAATTAAAGCACACCTTCAAAGTGTTGAGAAATGTGGTTTTAATATTGTAAATCTTTGTGATAGCCTTAAATATATTTTCATCTTTAATTATAAAATTTAAAGATTCAAAAATAGTGTACAACGAGTAGATCTATGAAAAATTGAAAATCTTGAAAATTGACAGTCCAAAAACACGTTATAAGATTCACTATTTCCAAAACTTGAAATCCATTCTTTTCTCATGTACATGCATCTTGATGTCGAGATGACCAATTTGAGAATATTTGGGCATCAAAACAACCTCTTTTAGTGAAATTTTTGAAGAGGGCTATAATTTGATTGTTTATAAACTTTTTCCATGTAAATATAGCATACATATAACTATCACTATCAGTAGTGCATCTTTTTTCTCCACACTAGAGTACATGTCCCTCTCTACATTTAGCAGACACACTTGTTGATTTCCAATATAAGTTTTATAAAAAGAAAAAGTTTATATAAGGTCAACTTTATAATGTAGAACTACGAATGCTCCTTAAAAATCCATCGGAAAAGGTAGTTTTAATGTTGCAAAACCTTTGATTGATCATCTCGACATCGAGATGTATGACCATGTAAAATAAAAAGATTTTGAGTCTCAGAAATAGTGCATTTTACAACATATTATCTACACCGTCCATTTTCAAGATTTTCATATGTTTATAAATCTTGATTTTAACGATTTTTTAAATTTAAAATTTTATAATTAGATATAAAAATAGATTTTGAGATGATCCTAAAAACATTTTACATCAAACGCATATACCATGATAAATTTTGAAGGTGCACCTTATCTCTACAGCTGCGGATGCATCTGTATGCCAACTGCACCCTTTATAAAAATCTACTTTTTTTTGCTCACAAAATATTGGCACTTTAAGTATGCATCCACGTCTAAAAAGAGTAAATAGTGGCATCTAATGATGTCATAGAAACACTAAATATAGCTATTTGTATATAACCCACTTCCTAAATTTTGGCTGAGGTAATTTCCAAGAATCCATAACTTAACCATTAGGGACCATACTAGTACAATAATCTTAGGACACCATAAATCATAGTCCACACCTTTTAGAAAAGCCTAGGAAATATCTATGAGATATTCTAAAACTACCAAATCTATCCAAGTTTATCTAAAACAACAAGATAAAATCAAAAATAGAGGAACCTTGCTAACTAAAACTCAAAAAATGAGTACAAATTTGAACGAACGACCACAAAGCAAAAGCCGAGGGATTTCTACCTCATCTGGAGTTGCAAAGAGTTCAATGATGCAGACCGGATCACTAAGCCCACCAACACTCCAAGAGGTTTCCAGAATGTCGATGTTATCTTCTGGACACCTCTGCTCTATAAATAGACTCCTATGTTGCCCTTTGAAGGAGAGATTTTAGCAAAAATCTAGATAAACCAAAAAACCCTAGAATTCAGATCTCTCAACCCCTTGGCCTTAAAAACTCAAGGCCATTGAACCCTACTTCCCTGCAACTCCCATAGCGAGTTTTGAAACCTTAAAACTAGAAAACTCTTAGTAGAAAAACCTTAAGCGATTATTGTTGGAGTTATACTATTTCAAGGTCTTGATTCTAGCATTTTGTTATGGTTCTTAGTCATAGTGGGAGTGAACTAGAACCTTTGTTTCACTAGATCTTGGCAAACTGGGATTTAAAAGAACATAAAACCTTAAATCATGAGGGTTCTGTGCTCAAGGTCAGCATGTGAATACCTTGTGATCATGTGAACCTAGGCATGAGTATTTTTTAAGTATCTCTGCTTATTTTACATATTACAATGAGCTTGAGTATTTTTGTGAGCCCTGCGTGAAACGGCTAGACTTTGAGAGGAAATAAACAAAATCCTCCAAATGGGAAGCCTCTCTCTTAAGACAAGATCCCTTGGAGAGAGTTGTACACGTGTTAAGAAAGAGGACCCTCGTTTCTGTAAGAGTGGATCTTCTCTATGGTGCACTTGTAATCCAATCAAAAGCCCGGATCCAGCCATCTATTTGGTTGGTTTGATAAGCCAAGCATGGGTACCTGCCAGAGTTTGTAAGACATGAGCCTTGTTGGATCAATTACAAAAAAACAAATAACTTGGGGTTTCAAATCTAGCCAAGTGTAGTGCCCTAATACCTTATTTCGATCTTATAGGATCATAAATTCACTCACATATGTCATTTCATGATGTCAAACTAATTCAAAATGACAGTTAAGAATGATTTTTTGGATTTGTCTGAGAATTTAAAACTGAGCATTTTTTTAATTGGTTAAAAAAATGACCATCGAGGATAACCCCTCATGTGGACCATGTGGTGGCCAAGTAGCCAAATGGACGCCACATGGCTACCATATGGCTGACACATCACCACATATGGGTGACATGTCCAGTGGAAGGATGGTGTGTCCATAAGTTAGTGTTTGGTGTATGGAGTTATCTTTGATAAAGATAAGTTATTTTATGCGCATGAGTGTATTTTGGGAAATATGTGGCTTGCCATGTGGGATCTAGATATTTCCTTTAATCATGCTTTGTTTGATTAAAATCTTGATCTAAAATATTTTTTTTTTTACATGGGAGATTTTGATTAGACAAATGGTTATCCACATGACACACACATGTGTCTTATGACAACAACACACCACATATGTGAGGCTAGCCAATAGTGTGCAATTTACATAATATGGATTTTTCCATTTGAGTTAAAGTTGATGAGAGATAATAAGAGAATAGGATGCCCCACATAGAGTGATATTTCTATTCTCGATCATAAGATTGGATGGTTGATAAAACTTTTTAAAATTAAAATCAAATTCAAGAGTGAAATTTGAATTGAATTAAGGTTACAAGAGGAAAATGGTATTTAAATCCCAACCAATCACCAAAGATAGCTTGTAAGTGGATGTATAACCACAATCTTAGCCTCTCTCATATTAAAGGTTCAAATTTAATCATCTTGAAGCTTACAGGTTATAAAAGCTCACTAAACTAACCTTTTTCGTTTTATCTTAAATCATTTGAGAGAGAATTTCCTATAGTGGCATGCCACCCTCATTGCTCCCCTCTTGTATGTGTTCAAGAGTGAGAAATAGAGTATAAAGACACGCTCCCCAACTTATGATGGTCATGGTGCACACTAAAGCTTGAACTTCATCCTTGAGACCTTTAATTTGAAGTTTCATATTCTCCAAGGGTCTTCTTCTTGTTGTAAAATCATCATAACATCAAGGTAACTCATCTTCTTTGATTCATTTAAGTTGGTTTTTTCTTGAGAATTCATGTCTCATTGATAACCCCATATGTCGTGATTGTTATACTCTATTTTAGCATAGTTTGATATAGTTTTCCTTGAGAAAATTCCACCTGATATCTTTGAGATTTTTTCACAAATATAACAACAGGCTAAAGTCATTCTTATCATATTAGAAGCCTCAATTTTACTAGTCGTCGTTATGCTAAAATTTTCTCATGACCATGCTTGAATTATATGCTCCATAGTGCTCTCTCTACCTTTAGGCGTGCCACCCATTCTTGCTCCACACTTTATTCATATCAGCCTTTTACTTATTGAGTGTCTTGGAGAATTATTGTGCAGTTTCATGCTTCATGATATTTGCTTCCCATTCATGTGATTGAACCTAGACATGTGATTTTACACTAGCGATAGTGGGGATATACAAGGGGTATATATAAATCATTGGTGGTAACACATGGTAATTGAGCTCTTTAATCGGCATTCCATGATTTTAAATTAGTACAAACATTTGATTCATGTTTATGTAAGTGAAGATGGAGTACTTTTGGTTCTTGTAATCCAAAATTGTATTATTCAAATTTAGGTTTCATGCAACCAATGTATATGTTGTTGAATTTTGGGCAGTGGTGACATTGTATGGTGTTAGAAAATCTCCATGGTGTCATATAGAGTGGGAATTTTCTTATGACCTATTTGAAGTGATCTTTGTGTAATTTAGGGGTGATTGTATGTGAGGAATTTAATGATTTGCAGCCAAATATGCCAGTGGAAATTGTGGATTTGAGGTGTAATTTTGAATTGTATTTGAAAATTTGTGTTTCTTCATACTTAGAACTCATCCTCTATACCCTCCGTCAATTGGTATCAGAGCTGAGCTTCAAAGATTCCTAATTTCCCA